TAGTGAAACTAGTCGTGGAGTATGTCAAGTCCCATCCGGACTTTTTACACGACTCCAGTCGTATCATTGAAGGATTTGGTTGGAACCACGAAGGATGGGACGTTCCTGCCTTGCCAACTGCAGTCCGTATCCCAACCTGACTCGCCCTGTGGACAACCTTGACTGACGCCAAACCCTCCAGGCTGATCTATCATCTCACCCGCTTCTTGCTGACCGCCAAATCATCCTTGCCAGCAAGGATGGGCACGCGTCTTGGGTATCGACAGCCACACTCGCGTTGAATGGACCATACCCTGAGTCAGTCGAAGGAGGTGTGATTGTTAGGGATAAGGCGACTGGCGAGCCTACAGGTGCGTTATCCCCTTCTTCGAGCGCTTGTTTGGTCTCAAGGGTCATTTGTTTCTACTATTTTCTAGGCGTGTTCATCGACACTGCCCAATCTCTCATCACACCGGCTGTCGTAACGCCTGAAATGCAACGCCAACGATTCAAGAATACCGTGAAGGATGCCCTTCGAGCGGGATTGACAAGCTTGCACGATGCTGGCTTATACCCTATTTCCCTAGATTTCTTTGCAAGGTAGGCCTCCTGGCCGTTTCTCGTTGTTCTCCTTGACTCAGAAGTTTCCAGAGAATCCAAGAAACGTGGTGGCTTACCTGTAAGCAGTCTAAGCCGGTTCGTAGTGCCAAATCGACAAAGCTGACGTCCCTGTCTTTTGTCTAGCTTCGCGTCTATGCCATGAGGTGGTTCAACGCCACGTCCTTGCCCTATGACCCTTCTGCGTATTGGGGAGATCACACGCCGAAGATCCTTGAGCTCGATAGTGCAGCCAAACTGGCATCGAGAAGCGTCAAGATCTTTGCTGATGGTGAGTTTCCCATCCTCCCCACCTTCACATTGGTCTAAATCATCTACGGCCAGGTGCCTTGAGGACTGCTGGAGCTGCTGTACGCCCTGCGTCCGTGTCCCTCGTATGCCACTGCTGACACCAATCGCTTCGAATACAGCTCTACGAACCATACTCTGACGACCCAACAACCTCTGGCCAGCTTCGTTTTGGCGCCGAAGGCTTCAACGAGGTCATACCGAGATTCTTGAAAGATGGATGGCAGGTGGTACGTTCACTCCTTTACTCCACATCTCACTCCTGCTCGTTCCCCTGTCCACTGTACTGGCTGCAGCAACTCACTGAATTGTTTTCAGAACGTACATGCTATCGGTGATCGCGCCAATGGAGTCATTCTCGATGCCTTCCAACTTGCCCTCGATGAGATGAACATGACGACATTTGAAGGCTCGCACTTGAGGCCCAGGCTTGAACATGCTCAAATCATTGCGAAGAAAGACATCGAACGCCTGACCAGGATGGGAGGTGCGTCAGTCCACCCCACGATGCTAATTCGCTTCTGACACCTCTGCTAGTTATTGCGAGCGTGCAGCCAACGCATATCAACGATATGTGGTACGCTGAGGATCGTTTGGTCAGTGCTTCATTCCCGATTCTCGTTGACGCTCAAGGAAGGCCTTCTTTTCCCCGGCCCCTTTGCCCTTTATTCGAACCCTTTTTCGATGTCAATTGCTCATACGCTTTTTTAGGGTCCTGAAAGGGTCAAGCAACTATATCCATTCCAATCTATTCTGAAAGCAGGAGCACGCATAACCCTTGGCTCCGATTTTCCCGTCGAAAGCGTAAATCCTCTCGCTGGCTTTTACGCTGCGATCACGAGGCTCTCACCGGATAGAAAGAGCCCGCACGGCCCTGGCGGATGGTGAGTCCGGCTTTTAATCTCTCGTAACCTTTGGCTTGCTGCTTCTTGACCATTGCCTCCGTCTGGTTCTCATCCGTCGTATTCCGCTTCGCTGCTTCTCTTGTTCTGACCCGTTATGAACAACTTCTCTTCTTCTCCCGCGCTACGCATCGTGTACTCGGGAGACAGTATACTAACTGACACCGTATCGTTTTGAATAGGTTCCCAAATCAGCGACTCACGAGGACGCAAGCTTTGCGAGGAATGACTATCGATCCCGCGTATGCTTCATTCACTGAAGAAACACTGGGCTCCTTGGAAGTGGGAAAGAAAGCTGACTTTGTGATTCTTTCGCAAGATATCATGGTTGTTGCTCCGGAGAAGATCTTGGAGACTGAGGTTCTTGCAACGGTTATTAATGGAGAGGTTGTCTACGGTGGGATCTGACTTGTATGCCAGAACCCATAAAAGAATGAAAGGAGTTGCATTTGAAGCCGAAGAGGTCCGAAGGCAGTTAGAGAATGTAGCGAAAGTCGCGATTCTCAATGTCAGTCAAGTCAAGGAAAGCCTGAGCGAATGGTGAGACTTTTCCTTACTGAATGAACGGACATAGAAAACCTGCCTTGTCAACGTGCTGCTTGTCCACAGTGCCATCATCCAGGGTCTTCTTGATGAAGACCTTGTCGTACTTGGTGCTCTTGGGTTCTCTTTCCCTTCGCTTGTTCTCGAGATGGAGGACAGTGCGCAGCCAGAGAAGGAGCAGGGCACATATGAAGACGGAGATTGATACGACGATCCAAGGAATACGATTCCTGTGCATTGCGTCAGGGACGCACCCTTGGGTTAAACCGTCGCCTCGCACCTTGGTTGGTACTTCTTCTTCCACATCAAAGGGCCGACCGCTAAACCGAGGTACGCTGAAATTAGGACAATTGCATTGGTGGTGATACCTATTGCCGTTCACGTCAAAGTGAGAATCCCGAGTCGACCCATAGACCCACGTTTGGTATGCCCAGCGACGAGCGAAGTGACCCATCCAAGGAAGATGGTATAAGGGATGCTGACCCAGTCTATCTTGCTGTCAGCGGACGGCGGATGACTTTTGAAAGATGCTACTTACACGAGAGCCAGTACATGAAGAGGAGGGCAATTTTGTTCTCGCCGGGAAGGACGTTGATCAGGATCGAGCCAATCAGGGGTGGAATCGAGGTCAAGACGGTAGCGTACCCTCTGCCGATCGAAGGGACGCAGGAAAGATAAACACCCACACTAATGCCAAGTACTGGTGTAGTGAGCTACCTTTCTTGTTACAGCCAAGTGACCTAACTCACTGGTAATAGCCCCGTCGGCACAACTGAGAAGGGTTGTCTGGAGAGCGTCAAATCCAAGTTGAGAGACGATGATCTGTTTTTGAAAGGTCATCTAACGGGCAGTGAGCTTCCCAGCCCGCGAGCGTGTAGAGATTACGATGTACGGATACTGGGACGTGTCTGAACATGATCAATACCGGGTATGTAGACAGCGTTGCGGCAACAGAGGAAGTAATAACTCACGAAAGGAACGCAAAGCCTGCCATGATCCAGACCTTGAGGTCGGTCAGTGCTTCGATGAACTGGGTTTTTTTCCATGTCTTGTTCTCGACTCCGGATTGATTGACCTTGATGCGCTCTACCGCTAGGGTTCTTTCCTCAGGAGACAGAAACCGGGCGGAGGTAGGAGAGTCGGGGAAGAGAAAGAAGAAAACGATGCCAAAAAGGAAGGTCACGATGCCCATTATAATCATCATCCTTTAATTGACATTGGTCAGGATGAATGACATTAGATCGTTGAGAACGTACCATTGCCAAGGCATAAGTCTCGTTCCCTATCGAAAGCAAGGATTAGACTATGTAAAACGACTATAATGGCAAGACGCACAGTAATGTGAAGCAGGCCGAATGCGACGAGCCCTAAGAAACTGCTTCCACCCATTCCAGCCATATCTGGTTCGTGTCAGTACGTGACACTGGACTTATAGCTCAACAACGTACACCAATAACCGACGCGCTTGGTATGCTCAGAGCGTGTATAGAACATGGAAGTGACGAGCATGAAGCCAGGCATAATTACACTTTCGCACATGCCAAGGACGATTCGGCATGCGACGAGAGCTCCAAAAGATCGGCAAGCTGCCTGGCCGAGCAGTGCGATCGACCAGATGATAATGTTGAAGCTAGGTCACCCATTCTGAGCTTCTTCAAGTGTTCGTTAGCTAACTGTACTCACCTCATCCATTTTCCGACTGGGAATCGTTGGAGGGCGAGGTTTTGAGGATACTGATAGGCCATCAGGACCAGGTCCGCGAAGCGCCACAATAATGTCGTGACAGTTACCTCTGATGCAAGGATCGTGACATAGAGAATAGTGGCTAGCCAGTTGAATTGATCTTGGCTGAGGTGAGCTCCTTGGCTAGCAGAAAGTCAGATATAGTCAAAATGAAAATATGAGAAACCGAAAAATCACAAGATTCCAAGGATAGCAGATTGGACGATGACGACTTGACCAGCTATCATGATGCTAGTGACAATGAAGACTCAAATCAGAACCAAATGTCAGTTATTAAAGCCGTAATACCCACACAAAGGTGACTGAGAAGGTTGGGGTTGTTTCAGCTGCCAGGTGGTCCGAAGGAGAAGGAGAGTGACTTACAGCACATTAGAGGCATCAGGTTCCGGTCGATTTTCTTGCTGGAGGGGTGTCAGAGAAGTGAGATTGCCATGGGGGCGATGCCTCACCGAAGTGCTTTAGCCGCATCTGGTGTCAACTCGTAAGGGCTATCGTCGGCCACGAGAACAGCTGTATCCACGTCGCGTGCTTGAACGGTGATTTCATTATCGCTGTCATGGACCTTTTCGTTAGACGCCATGGGGAAGAGTTGGGCAGCCACTAGGCGAGAAAGATGGCAAAGAAATATCTTCAGTGGACTTAAGAAGCCACAGCGTTGACTCATTGGGCTCGCCTCAAGGCGTTGAGGAAGGTAAAGGGAAATACTGATCTGGCTGGCCATTAGTCCATAACGAGTCAAGGAACTTGAAGAAGAAAGCCACCAATAGGCATGCCTGATCGTATGACCTTGCAAGAACCCATGGCGCACATAGATCAAGGGTCAAATGTATTCATCGATCGCAACCCCTCGGGTAAACATATCAAGGCACAATCTTATGTTTGTTAAGCGTTAAAAATGTTACTGCCTAAGATCGCGCACTTACTAGCGACCCCTTAGCTCAGTGGTAGAGCGTGTGATTCCAGTAACTGGCATGTCCACAAGGTCATCCGTTCAACTCGGGTAGGGGTCAGCTTTTTGTTTCCCGCGCAAGGTCCTGCCAGGTCCTGCCAAGGGGAATATCCGCAGGAGGCCGGATGCCAACTTGGCGATTCCTGTCAAGGCAAATTGGTCCGTGCGCCGGAGAAGATCACCAAAGGCGGTAATCCTTGGAACCTCGACGGGCGCTTAACCGATTTTTTGTGACAAAAATGGCCATTTGGTATCCGTACACCACCCAAAATTTCCTCCAACCTTCAGCCAAAAGTGCCAATCCGTGTCCGGAATGTTCATCGCCTTTTCCTGCGGGTGTTCGGTGGTTACACCAGTCCCAATTGAGCAACTCCAACAGCTTTGGCGGGCAGTAGATTAGATCAGATTGACCTCAGAATCGCATCGATTGCCTGTATTATCAGTACTAGGCGCTGACCCGTGCCTTGCACGGGCGGGGTGTGTCAGACGTATCTATGAATAAAAGCACGAACCCCGACAACTTTGAAATGTGTCTTTCCATATTTCGCGCGGTCTCTCGCGTTTCATAGATTTCCCGCTGCACCTACTATGATAACCGGGCTCATTATCTAATCTGTTTAGGCTGGATTCCCGTGCTCCGGCTAGACAAGGCTGGTCTCGCAGGCGGAGATGCGTGCTCGGGCGCCACATCCAAGGGCAGGCCGTGAAATGTACGACCAGGCGGCCTGTCATGAGCGATTAAGGCAGGCGCAAGGCAGGCACGAGCAAAGAGGCTCCCGGGACAGCGTTCCTCCTGTCATCATTTAAGTAAGCCAAGCCCGACGATTGCACCTACTTTGCTAGCAAAGCGAATATCATCCTGGATCAGCTGTAGGGTTACTTCAGACCATAACCTCGGTTCGCGCGCCACTTCCCGTGGTATCGCTGCAAGGACGGAATTGGTGGCCGACATACCAATGACCTGGACCAAACCGAGGATTTGGTTCCATATTGGAAGGTGAGTAGGGATGAATAGTGGTTATTCTTCCTGCGCGTAGTGTAGCATAACAATATCGTCGAGCGTCTCAAAACCCGCGAGTGGAACAGAGGCACCCCTTAGATACCAGGTGCCATTACAAGAAAGGCTGAAGAGAAATGGATGTAGATAGTTACACACCCACCAATCACGCTGTCTGCGACTCGCCGGCCGCATGCTGACGGGTTCTAGAATCCGTATTCCAAGAACATACAAAAGCGGAGGGTGTTAGCCGCGATGACAGTAGCTTTCTTGCTCCGCACCTTCTACTAGCCCTGCCTGGTTCCCAAAATGCCGAGGCTAATTGACTTCATTGCACCCACACTTTTGGTTCGTGGTGCGACTCCATGGTAGCCCGTTTCTAACCTTCGGCAGGTATACGATTATGTGTGCACGCTTCGAGAAGAGGTGCCTTGTCTCAATCAAAGTCCCCCCTTGTTAAAGAGGTCGCTGATAGGAATGTTGCAGGTTGAATACATGTGGAAAAGTCGATGGTCCGTCGGGCTCATCATGTTCTACGTAAACCGTTATCTGGTCTTTGTTGACCAGATACTCCTCTACTATTGTAAGCTGGATCGTTCGACGAAGGATCAAACACTGATTCCGGGCTGGAGACGGAAACATGGCCAATCCTTCTAAGGAAGTGAGTCTTTACAGCTGTGTAAACGGAGTTGCATCTCACTGAAGCGGTTGAAGATGTGTCGCAATGTGTTTAAAGCTGCAATATGTACGTTGTAACGCTCCCAGATAGCACATACTTTCCTCATCGGCTATGGGCTTAGGGATTGTCTTTGTGGGAGAGAACGTCTCGACAGGTATGCTCCTTCAGCAATGATAGTTCGATTACGCTAAATCAGGCCAGTCATCGTTTTCCTGCAGACGTGTGCGATCTGGAGAGGGTACCGCTGGATCGTCTATCCACTAGGAGCCCTTCAATGCGTAAGCTTTGGTATTTCGATGATATAAGTGCCTAATCCAAGCTCCATCTAGGCCAAGGTCGTCGTGTCGCTGATTATGATGCTCTATATTGAGCAGCGCTCCGCCGTATGTGAGTACTTCCCGCCCCCGAAATGAACTGTGGAATCTGACGAGTAGTAGTTCGCGCTGTTCCCTCTCCAAAAGGTGAAGTATGCCGTATCATCATAGGCGTCCAATTTGCGAAGTATCGCTACACGATGTTTATTCTTGTAGAAGCCGGTATGGGACCTTTGCTTCTCCCAATGGTTGACTCTGACATTAGCTCGCAACCAGCGATAGTATGCGCCACATTGATCCGGGCAAGGTACCATCGTGCGTTACTATGTTGCGGTGCCGGGCCATTGTTATATTTGCTAACTTCTTTCAGTAAGGGCGACTAATTCTCCATGGATTCTACACCTCTACAAGAATGGTAAGCAGCGTTCTCTCCTAACCATCCACTTGAGCTCACGACTTTGTAGGCGTTCTGTTCAGCGTCGTCGCACTATGTGAGTTACAAAAGTCAGTGCATTAAAGGCATACTGAAAGTTACCTGTATTCAGTTTTAAGCATCGCAAGCATTATCGTATGTGAGATACCCTGGAAGGTAGGTTTTAACCTCTCGTGTATGTCGATGGATGCTAAAAGATATCTAGGACCCTGCAATGAGAGGGCTCGTTGCCAAGTAAGCTGGCTCGTTCTTTGTACGGGCACCAGCGCTCAACACTCCCATTTAGACCCCAACGAGTCCTCGACTCTCTCCTCTGCAATCGAATCATGTTTGTGATCTTCAAGCGCCGTCAAGCAGAAGATAGAGATCTTACTGGCTGCGAGAAGTCATGGAGAGGGGAAACTATGACAGGCGATGTTCTCACCATGATCCTTCAGTCAGGCGATGTCGCCCATACCCTGCGGCCAGGTTCCACCCTTGTAGAACTCGAAGATGGTGCCTTAACCCAAGCGCGCCGTTCTAGGATTGCCTAAGTATCGACTCGTGCATCTCGGAGAAAGATCAGTCTTGGTATAGTCTATCCTGTAGAGAAAGCCATTCAGACTTCAACGCCGTGACTCGGCGATCACTAAAAACTTGAGGACCACTACTATTGCCCCAGGAAAGGCTTGTCTGGCTTTGTGCCCATAACGCCGCCGACATGTCCTACCTGGGAATGTCCATCAGATCTTGTATGCCCAATTTGATAACGCAAAAATTTATCAACCTACCAGGCACATCTTGGTCTGACAGTTAGGAGATGCCTGGACCCAGCTCAAGACTCAAGTACGTGTGTGAGGGATGCCCTATTCAGTGGTACTCGGTTGTGTGCTCTCAAGCTAGGCGACGCTGCATGACGGAAACAGATATATTTCGGTGTATGTAAGCAGAGGCAAATACACGAGTAACAAGGAGGGTCCAAGATCGGTTGTGATCAATCGGAGTGTCACAGCAGAAGACGAGTCTGAAGGGGTTCTAAGGGATGGCTTCAATAGGATTATGCGAATGCAATCGCAGGGGCACGAAAGGGAAAGTGAGTTGAAAGACCGCCCCAGGATCCCAATCCCACATGGGCAAGAAACAAGCAAGGGTTTTTACAACGGCGAGACGGCAAGAATTGTACAAGGGAAAGAGGGATGGCGCCTGAGCTCTGTAGCGCTTCGTGCATGATATGAATTCAGTTCAGCATATCAGTCCCAGAAACCTTCACCGGCATTTCAATGCTGTCCGAACCAAGAAGAGACTTGAGAGCGATCTGCGCGTCCTCGTCTGATGTCGAGCACGGCTATTGTGACATTGATCGATGCTATTGGCTGGGGCGGAAGCAACACATTTGTGAGCGTAGAATTGAATGGCATTGAAGATGGCGATGGTGACGGGGAGGAACATGGGAAAGGTAAGAAATAAGTCATGTCGCGTTTTGTGAGATCTGCGCCTTGGATGGCGGAGTTCGAACTCTGGGAGTCGAAAACGCTCTATCGCCTTCGGCCAGCATTCAATTGGATCGAGTAACCAAGATGGACGCATGCAGCAGGTGGTTTCGAGGGGTAAGGGTCTGGGCGTTTCGTGAATTGAAGCGTTCCCAGGCTTTTGCGACCCTGACGTGGGGCCTTCAGCTACTTTCCGCTGCCCATCAAAACATGGCTAGTCTGCCTGTCAACGCTGGTTAGTCTTTTGGAACGATGCCGAGAGCTGGAGATTGATCATTTTCGCGACGCGAAGAACGTCATGTGTTTTAAGACCTCTCTGCTTTTACCTTCCTCGCCCTCGCCTTCCGGACTCCTGTCGGCTCTGCTATCGCGATGAAAGCCCCACCGTCAATGATTGGTCAGTACTGCGTCCTTCTGTAGATTGCCAACATTCGAGTCGTTAACCATGAGTATTCATCCAGCGGGGATTAGCTTTGGCTATTTAATCGCAGTCCTGTCGACTGCCTTGCGCCTATTCCTCCGACGCAAACGGCAACAACTATGGTGGGATGATTTTTGGGCAGTGGTAGCCCTCTTCATGTTACTCGCTATGGTGGCCCTCGATATTGTCAGGTTCTGGAAGGAGTTGGGTCAGTTATGCCAACTCGTCGTGCGCAAAACGTTGATCTCCTTTGAGCAGAACAACACCCAGTCCGCGTGCAGTCATTTATTGTATGGTTCAGCCTCTGGGCACAGCCAACTGTGGTCTGGTGCGTCCCGACACTCCCTCACACTCGATGGCGTCTTGCTAATCATCAAACTGAACGCAGGTCGAGCAGGATGTCAACTCAGGCCACGATCATACACTTCCTGCCAGAGGGACAAAACCGCATCATCTCAATGTGGGCTTTAGGATGTTTAGGTCTTTGCTGGCTAATCTCGGGAATCGTGAAGTTCTTTTATAACGGTATTCCAATACCAGTCGTTCCAGGGCCTCCATGGGGCCAAATGCCGACTGCCGTGAACATTGGTCGTGAGTCGCTTCAGCCATCCCCGATTATCCATGCTTGTGATCCCAGCGCTAATGTGCCTTCAGTCAGTTTATTGGCAACTGTATGGCTAATCGTCTGGCCTGCATCGATCGTGATGCGCATGCAGCTTCGCCAGCGAGCCAAGAGAACTCTCTTGGT